ATTCCAGCCATCAGAGCCCAATTTACAAAGCATGGTGAGAGGTACATGAGTTTCGTGTACAGGGTCAGTATCATTTGAAGTTATTAAAAGTGAGGCAAACTGCTACACCTTTGTCGAGAAAATTGAACACTGTGGGAATTTTAGGACCCATAAAATTATACTTAGTACCAAATGCATTGTTCATATAATGTCCAGTTTTGTCACAGTTGCACAGCAAAAAATAGTAATAGCTCCCCACCCTGTTTTCCCCCTCCCTGTATGTTCAGATGGAATTCAACGAAAAGCTGGTATGCCAGATGCTGTGTGTCAGTTAATATATTTTGGGAACTACAGAATGGTCATAATTACAACAACAAAAAAGTCCTCCAGAGAAAAATTATGACTCATGGTTTATGTTCTCTTTACTGTTGCTATGGAAAAGGAGGCATGTGCTAATGGTCATATTGTAGATATTAATCTCTGATTTGAAAGAAAGATAAATAACAAGTTCTAGCTTAACCCAACACAGATTCACATTGTGTTTAAACAATGTACATTCATTATGGCCACACAAGAGGAACAGAAGATGAGGCTGATGTTAGATGTAAACATACGATTAGAAAGTTAGCTTCTTATTTGAATTTTGTTCACACCACAAGCCAGCACACCCACATTTGTGGGGGAGGAAGGGATATGATGATTAAAAAGAAGGTAGCAGAAAAATGTGGGAGTGATGATAGCTCCAGTATAAATCCTAGCAACAGAAAATCCAAAGGGGTGAAAAATGGCTACAACCCCACCAGAACCTGCTGGGAGTAGGGAGGGGTACAGATCAGAAAGGGGGAGAGCCTGTTAAGGAGCAGATTCAGCACTTCTTTTCAACTGTCTCTGCTGATGTGACTTCTATAGAATTTGAGCTGTGAATTGTGATTAGGTAAAGTTGTAGCAAAGGCAAAGTGCATTGCAACTGCCTGCTCTCCCACCAAGAAAATCCCCCTTACCCTTATGAAGTTAGGGGTTGAGGGGACAGCTTGACAATTTGTGTTTGTTACTACATAACTGTCATAACAAATGTATATTGGTTACACGTTCAAAGCAGAATTTTTCTAATGGCAAACTCACCTTGTTTGAAAATTGAGCTGTGTTCTTTCCTTTGTATTTAATTGCCTACAGTAAAGATTTTGGAAGCAGAACTTAGCTGGAAATTTTGCTAATGATGCACCACACAAAGAAGAATAGAGCCTGCTTTTCTGCAGTTATGTTGGCTCTGTTCTGCTGACAGCAGTAAAACGTTTTATTCTATCAGTGAACTAAGCGTATAGGATTAGGGACACAGAGCAATAACATGTCCTCAGTCTATGTGCACAGCTCTCATTGACATCCAGGGCTCAGAGGGCCCAATATAAAGCTTGCTTAAACCAGTAGGAGTCTTTCTGTTGATGTGGATTGGTCCCATGGTGAGCAGGCACGCTCATTAAAAAGATATGATTTTTGCACTAGCTTTTCTGAACCTACCCACATTATAACTTATTAGCCATCAACTCATCTGTAGGATAAACTCATTGCATTACAAGGATAGTATGGCCAGATAGAAAACGTTTTCAGTTTCTTCACTGTACAGTAGGGCTATGCGAAATTTTGCTGGCAGTTTTGTTTCAATGCTGTTTTGACTCATTTCAAGCTCGAAACAGCGAAATCAAAATGAAACAGAGAGCTTTGAATAGCCTTGAAACGAAATGAAGCAAGTTGAAACATTTCAAAATTTTCGAAATGTTTTGAGTTTCGAAGCTGACGCTGAGCTTGCCTGCAGGGAAACATAAACTAAAGTAAGGAGGGGCGGGGGAAAGGTGGGGGAAGGACTGCTCTCATTATTGACTGTGTAGCTGTCCAGTGACTGTCACCCTTCCCTGAGGTCTCTCTCAACCCAGTGCTCTTGAGGAGGGATGGAAAAACTGCATAAAAGGCAGCATTGTTTGAACTGCCCTGCCTTCTGCCTTGGTGTTAGTTGAGTGAAAGTGCACCTTACACACACGCAGTGTCACCCACCCCTGTCACGAGTTTTGCCTGCTTGTGGCCAGAGGTGCAGGGCCCCAGAACCCAGACTCCCCCGCACCTATTTCCTTGACAGCTGGCAGGCTTCATGGATGCAGCAGGGCCTAGCAGGCCTGCAGTTTTCACCTCCCTGTGCCCCAAGACAGACAGTCCCACAAGCATACATGGCACGAGTTTTGCCTGTCAGGAGATGCAGGGCCCCAGAACCCCTGCACTATCTCCTTGAAAGCTGGCAGGCTTCGTTGTCTCAGCAGGGGCTAGCATGCTTGCAGTTTTGACCCCGCTGTGGCTTAACACATACACGTGACGTGAATTTTGCTTTCAAGAATTTGAGGTGCAGCTTCCCCCAAACCCCTGCACCTATCTCCTTGAAACTTGGCAGGCTCATGCCCTCAGAAGGAGCTACCATTCCTGCAAGTTTCATCCAAATCAGGCCAGAAATGACAAAGTTAAAGGCTGTTTTGAGCTTCTCCTTTTATAGCCTATGGGTGAAACGCCAAAACCGTCGAAACAGCGAAACTGTTTCGACAAAACGAAACAGAACAGCGGTTTCAAATCAAAATGAAATTCGAAACAAAATGCTGTTCTGTCAAAACACAAGTCGAAATGGAACGGTGCCATTTTGCACAGCCCTACTGTACAGGTATAATGTTTCTTAAATCTCTGGCACATACATCTTGTCTCTCTCCTTCCATTTTAATGAACGGACCTTTTCCAGTTCATTCCATGGATGCTTGCATGCTATTCTCCCCTTATGTGACAGTAAAGGAATAAAGAAGGCCCATATCTGAACGTGTATTTCACAGGAATCTTTTCATAGCGTTCAGTGTCACAGATGGCACATAAAGGTCAAGAAGAAGCTTTTTGCCCTTTCACCTAAAAGTGGATAAAAATAGCAGTGCCTTTTTTTCTGCCATGGGAAAAAGCACCATTAGCATCCATAGACTGTCAATACTGTATGTATTTTTACTATGTAGATCTTATAGTACTCTTAGTTGGCAAAAAAACTTCCTTTCATTTTAGATGGTAATTCACAGAGAATCACAGCAAACACTGCTAAACCACATCTTCTGAGGAACAGTGTGAAAATGTAATCATTTTGTGTTGTAAATGATTTTGTTACATATCAGTAGGATATGTACCTTTAAAAACAAATTGTACATTATGTATGTAAACATACCAGTCATTGTGCTGAAGGATTATTGTGCTTGTGCTTAGCAACTGTCAATATGCAAATATTATCATTTGATTAGAAGTTTTGTTTTGAAAGAATATTATGCTGCCATTGCAGATACTCTGCCATAATGAAAAGGAATAGGGAGGGACACATGGGTAGCACACAGGAAAGGACTTAAAGACAGCCCAGGACCACAGTACTTCTCTCTCCTATTTATAAGATATTGTAAAAGTACAGGGCAACAAATAAACTAAACATTTTTCTATCATATAAAAATGTATTGTGTTGTTTGGGATATGCATTTACTAGTATATCCCCAGTAAAATCGCTCTTTTCTGGCATTCTACCAGCCAGCATATTCTATTAACTGGCACTGTACCACTGCCGCCATTCACCACTCTACGCCCCTGTCGTGTGCAACTGTGCCACCACGTGCAAGCCACCCTGTCTGGCTCCGGTATTGTTAGATAACTGGCATCCGGTATGAGTGAGGAAAGCCGGATAACAGAGATTTTACCGTGTCCATCTATCTATAGATAGATTGATCAGTCTTATCTATCTATATTTCCTGGGGGAAGGATAGATAGATAGATTTCTCGATCAATCTATCTATAGATAGATAATTTCCCCCAGGAAATATAGATAAATGTGTATGTATATATGTATATGTGTGTGTATAGATCTAGATAAGTAGAAATACACACACACATACATGCGTATATATAAACATAAACTTTAGGAAACAAATTTAATTCTGACATTAATATAATCACCACGTGCATTATATATCCCAAAATAATTATCTGTACTATTTCTCTGGTCTCATTTTTGAAGGTGCCAAGTACCTGCAGTTCCTATCATCTTATTGCATGGGATTTTAATACTCTCAGAACAGTGGTGACTGAGATATAGTCTATGGTCCAAAACCATTCTGTAGAGCCATATCATCCAGCCCTTGGGGTTCTCCATGGGTCCAGAAATGTAGTGCTGGGAGGAGTGGCAGTAGTAACTGCTGCAGCTCCTGGAGCCATAGCAATTAATGCTACTGCTACCTTGCATGCCAAATTGGGCCCGTGGACTGACCCAGTGTGCTGGATTGGGTCCGCAGACTAACCTTGTGCGCTGCATCTGTCTCTCGGACTGACCATAACATAACTCATCTGGTCCTCAAAGCAAGAAGGGTTAGCAGCACTGTTTTAGAATGGTGAGCATGTTATTCAATTTAGGATCTGTAAAATGTGTCCAGTGGTATTGCTTGATTAAACTTTTATAAGGACAAACAAAACTGGCATATCTGGAAGTGAAATGTAAACACGATGTTAGTGTTCCCCAGCTAGTATTTCATGGCTGCAAGAAGTTGACAGCCACTCTATAAAGGTTAAACATGTATGCTTTGGCCTGTCAGTAAAATTAAGTCTGCTAAGGACTATGTGGCACTCTAAAAGACATGAGTTTATCTGTGTGAATAAACAAACTGTACAGTTCAATACAATTATACTTGCAGAATCATTTAAAGTATTAAAAGTGTGGTGCAGCATAATAAATGCAAATGGAGCTATCTAATTCACCAAAGTGTCTGAATATATTTGGGTGCTTTGGATTGCTGACATGGTAATGTCTGGAAAGTTAAATTTGAGAAACTGTGCTTTGATTTCAAAACATGAACAGCTGATAAGGAAGGAAATGTAATAGGGATAACTAGGATATAAATTCAAGTAATGCACCTTTAGTCTTAAATTTAGACAATGCCAGATTCTAAAATTTGCTTTGCCCAAATACTGACATAATTTTATTAGTATTTTTCTTTTTTTTATTCAAGGCATCACATCTTTAGTTAGTTATAAGTATTGAACAACATTGTAGTTAATACAAAGTAAGAATGTAACTGTGTGTATTATGTCATAATTGTTCTTGAAGAGATTGCTCTTGTATGATACCATGTAATAAAAACCTTAAACCCTAATCGTGCCTACTTAAAATATGCTCTGATGAAAGGCTAATTTCCAGTGTTGTTTGTTGGTTGCAGGGAACATCCCCCAAAGGTTTACCTTTCAGCCACTATAGTTGCTTCTTAGAAAACTCTGAATAATTCGTGATTCTAAATACAACTTTAAGCAAACAACATTTTAGTGCAATGTTATGTAACAGCAGAATTATCAGTATACAAAGAAAAAAAGAAAAAGAAGAAGGATGTAAGGCAACTCTTGGTAGGTATTGTGCTCTCCCCCCTTTTTGTAACATTTGTAAGTAGTGGGAATGAACACTGCAAGTGAACACACTGCTCTGTAAGCTCTCATTTTTTAATGCATTTTGAAAACTTGTAACCTATAATTTGAGAACGTGTGGGAGACTTAGTAAAAGTTGTCAGATCCGTGGAGGATCAAATCTCATGTCATTATAAAGCCCTGTATAAATTGGCATTTATAGCTCATCCTTGCCATGTAGTTCAAAACACATTGTAATGCTCAAATATCCCTGATAGAAATTTTTAAGTTTTTTTTATCTTTTTAAAAATGATCCTTACATCCTTTTAACTGTTAACTCATTTCTATAGATATAGCTTTATATATGAAAATCTTTATATAGATAAATTATTCTGTTTTAAAAATATTCTTGGATACAAAGTTGTGCAGGTGCAAAATTTGAAAAATATACTGCTCTAAGGAATTAAGTAGTAATTAAACGGTGCTATTCTAGTGTGTATATTTTTATGCTGGAATTATATATTTTTACTTTTACATTCTGCCCCTTAGCTTTTTCATCATATCAATGCCACATTTCTATTATACCCCTTGCTTCTAGTGCCTTTTTCCAACATGTCAAGCTTTACCTCAGATCTGACTCTAAGTATAGAAGCTAGTTACACATTCATCTTTGTCAGCTACCTATTTCCATAAACTGTTGTAGACACAAAATCATCTCTCCCTTTGCCTTATAAACACAGTTGTTTCTATTAAGTGAATAACAAATGACTGTGGGTGAAATCCTGGCCCCACTGAAATCAATTGCCAAGCTCCCATTGACTTTAGGCACTTTTACCTTGTGTAGGTTCTGGTCTTCTAGTCTTAAGGTAAAATGGAGCTCTGCCAAAAGTAGTATATACATGTATATACAGCAGTTATTTAATCAGTTAACATATAAAAGATATGGCAAAGCAAGTTAAATAAAAGTGCTCTCACTGATAACTTCTACATATAAAACTACTTGCAGAGCTACAGAATTCTGCAGTAAGGAGAAGTAATCCTATTATTTCTTGACTACTATTCACGTGCTTCCCTGATTTAACTTAAAGCCAACTGACCAGCCTCCCTCTTTTGGTCAGGTTGTCTTCATGACAGTCTCCAATTGCAGCTGGCTGCAGGAATTCTTAACTAATAACCCCACCCGCTTGGTCTAGTAGATGCAATTGTAACTGAGCACCTTGCAGGCTGCCTGTATAGCTGACTTTTTGTTCACTCTGCATTCCAACACTGTGCAAGAAATTAGCACTGCATATGAAACAACATACAAAACAATCAGTATCACCACATATGGAATATGTGTAGGAGACATATACACTGGTTATTCACTTAACTAAAACCACTGTATTTTGGAACATGAAAGAAAGCTCAGATTTTTTTATGCTGTTTGGTCTATCTGGAGAACAGCAGCTTGGGTTGATTCTTCATCAGACTGTTCTGTTTCTCCACTGGTTGGTTTGTTTCTCTCATCATACTGTCTCTGGCTAGAAAATTCTGGTGCTGTTCCATACTCTTCGTCATCTTCAACAATTGAGAGCTCAATGGTGTTGCTTATCCTTTTGCTCCTTCCTTCCTCGCTGGGTTCCATCTCAAAGGAATCGATTACTGCTTTGTCCTCCTCCGTTACAGAAGTGGTAGGTGTCACCTCTGAGTATGCCTCAGTGAATGAGGTCTCCTCATCATTCACAGCTTGATCACTGCTTGTAGTTTCTGTTGGTTTCTCCTCATTTTCAGCAGGGGTCTCTCCTTCACGGACTTTCTTCACATTGAATGTGAGGGGGGACACCTTGAAAGAGGAACTCTTTGAAGTGGATTTCTGGTGATGTGGAGTAAGTGATTTCTTAATCTTCTCTCTCCTCTCAGCAGAGACGATCTTGTTCATCTTTTTCTCAATGTTTTGTCGGGAAAATGCTTTCTTGAGACTGTCCACTTTCTTGAGGCTTGATCTTTTTATTTTCTCAGCTCTGGATTCTCCCTTTTCATCTGCACTGTCGTCCAGACCATTTTCATCATGAGGCATTTCATCATCTGATGACAGCTCCACTGTATGCAAGGTTTCTTCCAGTGTCTTGTTCTCATCTACAGGTTCTTCCTTTCCTTCTGTGATGCTGGGAACAGGTTCTTTTGCAAAAACACTGGCAGGAATCTCATTTTCCTCCTGAAAGAATTGACAACTTTTAAGTTGCATAGTGCATTGCTCACAACTTTGATAAACAAAACACAGAGCCGAAAAATTATATTTGCCCCCTCCCGCTCCCCTTTCCTCCCTGGAAATGAAGGAAAAAGTATTTTTTTTTTGTTTTGGTATATTTAACCAGTAACAAACCACTCAAAACTCTCTGAAGCATTTGAATGTGCAGCTTGGCAGAAGGCAGAGCAGAGTGTGATTGTGCGGTATGTGGCGCCGCAAACATGTTTGCGGCGCCACATACTGCACAGTCTGGTGTTCTCCATGCTGCAAGGGTGCGCTGCCTGAGGATGCATTGCGCTGGGGTTTTTTTCCATGTTTTATTTTTTTTGACTCCTGGATATCCAGGGGTAAAAAAAAAAAAAAGGTGTGTGTGTGGGGGAGAAACAGAGCAACTCACACACTCAGTGCATGCTGCTGAAAAGTGGAGCTGGGCTGTCTGGAGTTGCGCTCCACTGCTAGCCAGGCTCTGCACAGCAGAATTTGTGCAGCTGCAGTCCCAGGACGCCCCCAGGACTCCAGGTAAGGCTGCTGGGCCCAACACAGTGCTGGCCCCAGCCTCCTCTACCCCTCTTGGGGCAACTTGCTGTGCACCAAAATGCATACGGCACAGGCATTCCTTGGGGACAAGTAGTGGTGGTGCAAGTGCTATTTGTCCCTGGGGAACCAAAGTCCATGCATGTTTGGATGTGCCCTATGAGACCAACTGGTTCAGAGGCATGAGCTTTTGGAGGCAACAATCTCTTTTGTCAGATGAGATGCTATGAACAGTTACTATCTGATGAAGCCTGCCTGACTTCAGACTAACACAGCTAACCACCACTGTATAGAGAAAGATAGAGTCATGTCAGTCTGAAGCTGGGCAGAAAGCAGGGCAGGGTAACACCTCAGAAGCTAACTTGAGGTGGCCAACCTGCAGTGTAACACATGGCACATTGGGGACGCAGCACTGTGGCAGATTGAGCTGAGAGCAGAAAGCAGAGCATCAGATCAGGCAGGGAGCACAGGACAGGAAGCAGAAAGCAGAACAGTGGCTTAGTTGGCGAACACCAGGCAGGGAGCAGAAAGCCAAACAGCATATTGGGCAAGGGGAAGGGATCACAAAAGTACTGGGAGAGGTTGTGGGGTTAATTTGTGACATGCCTACCAAAAAGATTGGCCCCTGCTAGACTAACTTGTTCAGAGAGGCATGAACTTTCCTAGGTTACAGCCTATTTTGTCAGATGCTGTGAATGGACTGCTATAGCAAATAAATTAATCACTATGTGGCATAGGGAATAAGTAGTCTTCATACCCCAGTGAAAAGAGGAATATTTGTACTTTTTACACCCAAAAAAGAACAGTGAGGGGAAATATTCCAGAAGGAATCAGAAGAGCTTGTAAATGAAGAGGAGGTAAGGAAAAGAGCTAAAACTAGAAATTAAGGAGCTCATCCTACAACTACTACTAAATACAGGGCTTTACTACGAGTAGTCCAAAGAGAGATTTCACACCCTACCTCTGTTACTTTTTCTATCAAATTAGTTAACATTGAATTATATGGATACTCTGCATTTATAGTACTTATGCTTTCATTTTTAACCAGACAAGGCTTATGAGAAAACCCTTATTGTTACATACAGCAGAGAAAAAATTCATAACATCTTTAGGTAGAGAAAGCACTAAATGCTGTATGTGATGGTCTCAGATCTGTTCCCGGTGGGCAAGGGACTCCAGTGAAGGTGGGGGGAGGAAGACAAAATAACCAAACAGTGTATGAACTTCAAAGCTTTTGCTCATTAGCTCAGGATTGAGCATATGGTGTGATCCCCTAGACAGAATAGTCTCTTGGGTTACAATTGCTGGTGAGGCTGCATTGGGATGACTGCATGAATGCACAGAAAATGCCAAACTGCATTTTGTATGTTGTTTGTTTCTTTGAAATAATAATAAAAAGTCAGGTTTTTTTGCTGCCAGCTCACTATATGGCCCTCATGGGAATACAGTATATGTGTGTACACGCACACACACACTCAAAGAATATTTTTTGACAATTGTGTTTTAAATGTGTGCGGTGAATATACTTCAAGAATGCAAAAGGAATCACCTTCGTCAAATATTTTGATATGATTTTATAATTCAGTTGTTTCTTGTACCTTCTTGAACCAACATTTAATAACAAACATGTACAGACAACATGCCCAAAATATTCTGTACATTTTCCATGGAGAAATTCTAATAAAACACACATTCATATACATGTAAAGACATTTTATTTTTGTGCTGAAGGCTAAAAATACACTGGCACAGTATGTAGTCTTATGATTTTAACTTAATTTGCAGTGACTGGTGAGCAACTATTTACTGCTCCAGCTGTAAAAAGCCAAAACAATTTGTAATGAAATGCAAATGTTTATAATTTTCTGTAATCTGGTTACAGAAATCTGGACTGTGTGCATATATATAACTGGGATTGGACCCCATTGCAACTATCTGGAGAACAAAGTATAAATCACATGAAGCCCTAGTCTTGCATATTCTTTCACAAACAAGGCACTTAAGGGTTACTTATAATCCTGAATATTCCAGCATTCAGGTATATGAGACTGAACAGAAAAGAGCAAACAGATTCCACAGCTTCAGACAACCCTTTGAAAACTACATTTGTTAAGATTTTTTAAGATTTATTTTAAAACCTGAATGACAAAGTACAAAAACCAAACCATGACTTCTTTATTCAAACACATTTTCTTTTGACTTTTTAATGGCAACTTTGTCTAAATAAGGATAGAGCAGGCCCTTTAAAAATATTTAACAGCAAACTAGTTTCACATGAAATTGATTGTGTAATCAATCTAATCCAGATGGAAGATAATGCTGTAGATAGTGGCATCAATCTAATGACAGTGCTAAAATGTCCATGTTGAATCAAAGTATAGCAGGTTTCAGAGAAAAGAAAAAAGAAAAGGGAAAAAAAGGCTGAGGAGACTGATTGTCGGCCCTCCCCACCCCCATACAAAAATTCATAACTTCTCTAAATTTCCATAATCAGCTGGTTATTCAATTAGAGTTGGAGATGGATGACCTTGTACCTAAATGACTACACTGGGAATTAGGAAATCTGGACAGTATTCCCTTTTCTGTCCAAACTTCCTGCGGGGGTCTTGTGCATGCTGACCTTAGTGCCTGTTTCTTTTCTGGAAAACAGAGATAATGATGCTGTCTCAGTGAATGGTGTGAAAACGTGTGGTTATAAAGAACTTTGGGGACCTTGGATGGAAGGTCCTATAAATTCAAGTTGTTGTTATTATTTATGCAACCAAATACATAACCAAACAGATAACTCAAGCATTTGCTGATATATTCTATATAAATGCACTGCTAAGATCAAGTTAAGAGGTGATTTCCCCTCCGCCTTCTCCACCCCAGTAACTTTTCACTCCAGACCAGTGATTCTCAGGCTGGGTGCCAAGTTACTCAGGGGTGCTGCAAGATCCTTTGAACGCTGCCCTGAGGTATGAAGAGACAGGCCAAGTATGAGGAGATAAATGCAAGCTCATGCTCAATCCCTGCCTGACAACAATCCCTTATTGTTGCTAAACACAATAGTGATTCCCTTTGTGATTTTTTTTTGCCAGAAATTTGGGCACAATCCTGAAAGTCTTTCAGATGTGGGACCTCCCACTGAAATTTGCAAAACTGGGTCTTCTGCCTTGGGACAAAGCCTGTAGTAGCCCCAATATATGTGCAGATGGTGACTAGATGATTAAATCTAATATTCCAAATATCTATTTTGCTGAATGAAGTTTTGGGTTCTGCTGAGAGAGGATTAAACAGATCAGAACAGCTGCAATTAATTTTACCTTCCTAAGACTACTTTGCTTCTCTGAATTTATAGATACATGCAGGGCATGTTATGTCATCCATCAGCATAGCAGTATACCAGTGGAAGGCTTAGCAACAAATGTAGTAATAGCATAGCTTCAGGCCATAATCCATGCTTTGTTTACTTTCCCTTAGTTCTTTGATTTTTTTTTGTGCATGGAGGCACCTTCCAAAACATGATTATACTAATCCAAGCAACAAAATATAACTAACTAGGTAATATCCTATAGCTTCCCCTTGGTCTCTTCATTTCAGGATCAAATGTTTACTAAATGCAGTGTTGAGGGTGAGGGGAGGCTTGAATAGTAATTTACTGGCCATCCCAAGGTGTAATTTTAATATGAATGAACAAGACCTTACACAGAAAAAATTAAGTAGTATTCCTCTCGATTTGGAATTTTACCCCTGCAGATAAAAGATCATGCTGATCATGTGGTTACAGCAGCAGAGAAAGGAACAATGCCAAAGCTTAATAAGGATTTGAGAACAGTTATTTCAGTGTTTTGTTAAAGTGCCATGCCACTTATGGCATGTGTTACAATTTTTGCTGCCTCAAATGTGTGGATATAACAACTTTTTAAAAAAGATGGCACCAATTAAAGAAACATATGCAAACTGGGAACAATCCAGAATATCCAAGAGGAGAAAGCTATTTGAATAGACAATATGTAAATTGCTAACATTTTTCCAAAAGGCCTTCAATCTGCGTATGTTGATGGAAATCTGATTCTAACAAGTTGCAGCACATCTTTGTGAAATGCAAACCACAAGCTCAGTCATGTGTTTCATATGCACCCAATGTTCTTATTAAATAAGAAGACATTTGGGTTGCATGAAAAATTTAGAATCAAGTCACAAATCTCTGCTTTCATTTTTTACATTGTTTTCTCCCTAAAGTCCAGAAGCCAAGTCCTTAATGACAAACCTATAGCATGAAATTTAAATAATTTTTTAAAATGATGAATAACAAATTCTCAAAACACAAACTAAACAAAATTGGCATGCACCTGAATTCCTGTTTTTACACACTTGACATTAACCACTGTCTGATAGTAGCCAATTAATTCCTTCTTCCCCAGACCTTTTGAAAGCTCTTGATCTATAGC